CACACACACACACACACACACACACACACACACACACACACACACACTTAAAGTAGTTGATCATCTGCAAAACATCTCACACAAAAACACTTCCTCTCTCTCACTCTTCCACACACACATACCTTTTGTTTCTGCCGTGTGTGTGTGAGGTTATGCAGAGCTATTTCCCCTGATCCAGCATCAAATGAAGTGGACAGGTCTGATAAGCAGATAAGAACGCAACTGAGAGAAATGCCAGGACCTTCTCACTCACACTCATAGGAAAACCTCGACACAGGTAGACACAGTGGCACAGCAGCTGTCTGCAACTAAACACTGTGTAGTGTTTTCTATTACTGCACAGAGCAGCTTGATAAGACCCCTCTGGCTCTGTAATAAGCAGGGCTCTCTCATCACTAGATATCTGGTCGGTTTTTTTTCCATTAAGGTAAAGGAAGTGGGGAAGGTCACAAGAGCGAATGAATGGAATAAAATAGAAACTGAGGTTGAAGGGGGAGATTGAAAATGGAAAAAAAAGAGGATAAATGAAGGGAAAAAAGAAGACCTATCCAGGTTGTTTCAAATACTCTCGCCCTTGTTCAACACAACAAGCGATACACACAAGATCCTGTTTATTCCAACAGCAGAAGAGAAAGAAAAAAAGGAGGACAGGGTGGGATATAATTGGGATATAATAGCAAATCTCCATTAGTAAGTCAGGGAAGCATGTGATAGTAATTACCAGGTGTTCTCTTGGGATGCCTTAGGTTGCCCTCAGTGTCACTGCTATTACTGTTACAACACACGAGGGAAACAAACACTTTTCACAGCATGTGTGTGCGCATATGCATGTGTGATGAAATCATAAGAAGAGATGAGGAGAGGAGAGTGAAGGAGCGATGTAAGCTGGCTGGATGATGTAAATGCGACCACAGTTTTTCTTGGCTCTGTGTGTGTTTGCCCTCAGGCAGGTGTGTGTGTGTGTGTGTGTGTGTGTGTGTGTGTGTGTTTCAAGGTATATTCTGAGTTGGGCAACAAGGTCAAGTGCAAAGAATGTGTTACTCTTTCATTACGCTACGCAACTCAACATGCTTCAAGGTATTTCAGGAGCCTTGGTTTAACACACACAAGTACACATTCAAGATGAGAGTTATGTGTGTGCGTAACTTTAGTTTCTGTGTGTCGTTGTGGGAATGCTGCATTTCTGGGTGTGTATCATCACCAAAAACACAAGTGTGTGTGTGAGTGTTTTATTCTCCAGACAGCTGCTGTGCTGTAATGTTAGCCAATGGGAGGAGCCTGTAGCATGTACAGAAGTTCTCCAAGGAGCAGCTCTCAACAGCTGCTCTTGAGCTCCTGCGGGCCGTCTCTCTCTTCCTCTTCTTTTAACATGACTTTCTTCTCCGATCCTCTCTCGTTCTTTCTTTCTCTCTCTCTCGCTCTCTCTATCTATCTGGCCTCAGGGGATTTTTTTTGCCTATTGCAGTATATCTACTGTTTTAATGGTATGTGACTATGTGCAAACACAAATGCATCTACAACATACAGTATTCTGTCATATCTATTATGCAGATAAAAAAATCCTAGTTCATCACAAGATTTTACAGTAAATGTAATCTGATCGATGGTGTAGTTCTCATGCTGTTTTGTTCTTTCTCAGGCTCGTTCCATTAGTCTAGTCTAGTTCGTATTTCTTGAGTTGGGGTTGTATGAGGTACTTATCCACAGTCAGTGTACTACATAGAGTAGATGCGATCGGCGCACGCCCCTAGATTGGAGAAGAAAGGCCCACTTAAAAAAAAAGATCAATATCAGTGTAAGTGCTATATTTAAAATATCTCACCGCCTTACCTTTGCCGTCAGAGTCAGACAGCCCTTTCCTACGGGGAACTGAAGCCGTTATCCATGCTTTCTTTAAAGACTCCTGTTAACAACAACACCTTGCAGAACAGAGAAGTTGCTGGTCGACTGCTGACTCGATCGGTTAGTTTGTTTGTGTTATTGTGTGACTTTGATGTTTCAAAGGAGTAGTGCAGATTCACTAAAGTAAAATAAATAGTTTGTTTTAAATCAATAGACAGTTTAAAAATTAAACGATTAAAAAAAGGACAAAAAGCCTAATGGGATGTATTACTGTTACTTCCTGACTGTTTTAAAGGTAGGGGGACTTCGTTCTATGACCGAAAATACAGAATTATAAAGTTTGTGTTCCTGTAACTTTTCACAGTAGTTGCAGGTCTTGAAACTATTGAAAATAGATGTGGCGGTAACTTGAGTAATCGGTGGTTTGAAAGAGTTCACCCTGATTTCACAAATATTAGTCCATATGACATGATTAATGCTTGAGGAGTGGTATTACAAAATATGTAGAGAAAAAAGAAGGAAGTTCGTTATTTAATACCTCTCAAACTAATATTACAATCTCTAGATTTCGTGTTATTTACCAGAAGCTTCTGTGACTTTCTGTTCTACTAAAAAATGACATAATCAGTTTTAAATGAAAGGCCTTGAAGACGTTTACTCTCCAAAGTTAGAACAATATTGGTTATTTCACATGAGAGATTTCGGTGTTAGTGTTTCCTCTGTGTGCTTGTCTCTGTATTAGAGGAGGTGGGGCTCAGTTCATCAAAGATGATGGCAGGTCTTTCCACAGTGAATTAAGTAAAATAAGAAGCAGATTATTTAACTGTGAGTTTTTGAGTGTTGAACTACTATTGAATTCTAACTAAAGATATTTGTTCTCTTAAGCCTGATTGTTATATAGTCACAAACAGCTTGTCATAGAAACATTTTGTAACATGAAAAGTTTTTCAGCTTGTTTAAAGGTGTCTCTTTAGGTGTTTTTTTCTTTTTACATCCAACTAACTGGTAAATAAGCAAAACAATAAAAGTAAACAGATATGAGAATGTTTGTGGATATCTAAGTGTTATTTATGATGATGTTATTATTTCTTCTACTTTACCTGCAGTCTGTCATGTAGTCTAAGAAACTCATAAAAGCATAGTGAAAGTGTTTTCTCCAAATACAGCAAGCTGCATTGTATCCTGGTGCACTATGTTGCTACGATTGTGTTATTTATTTCCTCTTCTATGACGGATTTCCTCCTGTGTGAACATTGATGGCAGCAGTTGATGGACTTCAGATTTTGACAACCTGTACCAAAGCTTGATTATCCCTAATGCTTAAGAACAAGAAACAAATAAAAATGTAATTAATTCATGAAAAATTCATTAAATTAAGAATTTTCAAAATGAAAGCACATCCCCAGCCAGCATTTTGGACTGAAATGTTTGAACGGAAATGGTCCTGACCTTAACGGTTTAACTAAATCTTGGAGTTGACCTCAGCCTGTCATGGACAATCTAAGTGACCTTTGACCCTTGCGAATTAACCCAGACACCACATGATGCCATTAACTTAGATTAACTGAAAGGGAGTGAAGCACATAAACAAAGCTCTCAGTCTCCCATAACATTCCTGCTTTTACACATCAATGCTCGGTATTTATAGTTGTTTTCACACTCGTATCTCCCTCTGTATTTGCCTCTCATTCCCTCTAACATAAAGTAGCCTCACCAATTAAAATGAAAGCACACTGTGCCTTAAAAAGCAAACATCTCATTGGTGAGTGACACTCGCTCACTCGCTGAAGCTCGGGCGGCGGGGATTGGCCGCCACTCGGTTTAATAGCACACTCACAGATACAATCAATGCGAGAAATCCTTCGTGCTGCGAGACAGATGTCAAAAATTCAGCAAATAAATGCAGTGTCTCACAGGCAGGTGTAACACACACATATACACACACACACACACAAACCTACTTACTGAGTGCATCTCTCCGTTCTGTCTCTTATAATCACACACAAACAGAAAACACATTCGAGCCACACAGGATATTAAACCACAGGACTGGGGGGAGATAAACACATTTATCACACAAGCGCTCTTTCATTATTAATCTCGGCCCACCTCTCTGCTGTACACCTCCACATTTTACTTCCCTTCCTCTTCTTTCCACCCTCCTGTTTTATCGCAGAGCCCATGCAGATTTATGACTTCTTAACAAGGCATCTTCTGTTTCGTCCTTCGTCACCAATCACTACTTTCATTTCCTCTCATCCTGAAGGTAACTCCTATTATACACCAACTCCTCCTCCATTTTGCTCCCCTCCCCCTGTACGCCACCTAGATTCTTCCCTCCTCTGCCTTTTTAAGTCTCTTTATCAATTATCTTCTTCCTTCCTTTCCTCCCTTGACACAACCAGTCCTCTCTACTAATCTCTACATCCATGGTGAACGTCTTCTTGACTCATTGCTTTTGGGGTCGTGTGTGCAAACTGCATGAGCGCTGATTGTGTATGATGGAGCACATATTGTCAGCGAGGCTGCCACCAGAGCCTTGTTGATCCATCTCAACAGCGCTGCATACAGAGTAGTGTGTCTATTTCTGTGTGTGTGTGTGTGTGTGTGTGAGTGTGTGTGTGTGTGTATACTGGGCTGAATCCGAGCCAAGTGCCACTGAGTAGCCATCAGATCCGGGCCGAGCAGGCCGAGGGGACAGACAGCGGTTGTCATCCCTCAATAGGCTGACACTAAATGGCTAAATCAGTTTAAAGCTACTGTAACTAAACCCACCAGGAAAACTCACAGTGGGTAGAGGGAGGGAGGAGGAAGGAAGGAAGGGAAGGACACTGGGAGGGATGACAGTAATCCCTCTCATTGTTAGCAAGACTGAAAAGCACTGATCCTCTCAGAATCTCTCTCTCTCTCAGACACACACACACAAACTTACTGACTACACATCTCTCCGTTCTGTCTCTCGTAATCACTTACTCAACACACTCTCAATCCATATCACACACTTAAAGCCTGGTTATTCTGTTCTCATGGTTACATTTCTTACAGTCACTAATCACGATTTCCAACATCCCAAAGAGCAAGTTTTAAAAAGTTGTAAAAGACGAAATAACACAATATTTCCACTTTAAATAAAAAGTGAAAAATAAAAGACACCACACTTTGTCAATTCAGGTCATCCTGCTACAGCCTTTCGTGGCTTGGTATGACCAGTAGCTTACAGTGGCTAATGTTAGTAAACATTAGAGTGCTATATATAAAATTAGTACGCCACTGACTTAAAAGATCATCTCCACCTCTACGAGTAGAAAAGAGAAGAAACGCAACATCCGGTTACTCAAAAGTTGTTTTTTTTGTGATATTTTCTTAGCTAGCTTGCTACCGTTATCCATTTACCTACATTCAGGAATCACCTGGTTTTGTTCAACGTTGTACGCATAGGATGTACGGTGTATGAACCCTGTAATCCCTGTGAGGACGGGGCTTCTGTAGTATGCAGTGCTGAGTGCTAAGCTAACAGGTGATGGTCAGTCAATACCTTCACAATGTCTCCTTTTCTGTTTCAACACTTAAAGTGAGCAGCCTAATGAGTGATGCAACTAATTCCTGTTGTTGTTGAGTAATTAGTAAAGTAGTGCAATTTTCAAGTAACTCGCACAACAGGTCACCATACATTTTAATGGTTTTATCATAAAAGTAAATGCATCTTACCTCGTTGTTCTCTAGTTTGTGGCATGTCTTCACGTCGTCAGGTGTCTTTATGGCAACTGTCCCCAGAAAATCTTGGGAAATTAAGGTAAATTAGATTAGAATTGTGTTTGTGTGTGTTAACAGTGCTGAATCCCTTATTTTTTCATATTGATGCTAGAGACATTCTACTATCCTTACATAATAATTTAGTGTATGTTTTTTTTTTTCTTTGTGGAAAAGCATCTGAAACAGCAAATGTTTGAAGGTTTCAGTGCAGGTTTGAAACCCCTGGAGATGCTGACATGTATCCTCACGTCAATCACATTAGCAGGGGCTGACATTGACACTGTTATTTACAATTTCCATAAACTCCCCTTTTCTGCCAACACGCTCTTACAGCTTCCGTCTTTGCTGCTTTGTATTCAGAGCTTTCGATCGATTTCTCCAGGTCACATTGATGGGAGGCATTTAATTTCCTAATGGAAGAGCCAGCAGAGCAGGGGGTGTGTCAAGACAATAGCACTGATTGGCCCGTAACCAGAGATCCTGTCTATGCATGGTGTTGGGCAAAATTGTTACAAATTGGTACAAGGTTAACACGTACTGTTATGTAAGCGTTCTGTTAGAGGGAGGGGAGATTCTTTGCTGTGGAGAATAAACCAGCCTTGTTTAGATTTTCAGAGGAACCCTTTCATGCTTTCGTCTTGATTAACATTTGGTTTTGATATATGCATTTTCAAATAGTCAATTGTGATTATAGCTGCTATTGAGTAAGAGTCATCTTACTAACTGTTACTTATGAATGTACAAGGCTGCACTGCAATTTGCAGATGATTGATGGCTTCATTTCAAGTCATTTCTTAACACGAGAGCAAGTGGAGAGAACGCTGCGTCATGAAGTCGATGCAAAAACACGAGCTTCCTTCATTTTTCTGTTCTGTCACAACAAATCATGGGATCAATCAATGTGGGGGGATATTTACATAATGCCGGTTATATCAAAGAGATTTAACTTTGGCGCACGCTAGGAATCAATTTAGATGTCATCTTTTGGGAAGTGTAAAAAAAAACAAAAACGGATGAATTACATCAAAAGCTATTTGATTTTTTGATTGCTTTTGGTCTGGTGTGTCAAGATTTTACAGACGATGTTCAATGGTGTAACCAAATGTTATCAAATGGCCAGGCACTGTTTCTAGCTTCCATTCTACTTTGTGCATCTAAGCATACACAGTGAATTTGTGATCACAACCAAAAAATAATTAAATCACAAAACAGTTTTCACAAACTGCCTGTTGCAGAGATGGGAATAAAAACGCGGAGAATATAGTGTTGTGATCGTTTTTCTTGAGTTTTGTTTCTTTATAAATTCTACACAGCTGGAACCAAATAAAAAAAGATACATCAACACACCACAGAGGTCACAACAGCGTACCACAAAATATACAGTATACAGTACAGAGAGAGAGAGAGAGAAGTAAAGCACTGAGAATATCTCCTAAAATAAGAATCCTCCTAAATAAAAAAACAACATTTCTCTCTTCTCTCAGAGCGAGTGGAAAAGCATGGGAAAAAACGAAAAACTCAGTAGTTCCAAAATAAAGAATACCCCTTTCTAAAAACAACAACTTTTATACCACATTATTTTTATATAAAACATTAAAAATCAAAAAAGGATGCTCCAAGTTCACTTATCTATCTTCGCCTGCCATCACAGGTTTGCTAACAGTCAATATGGCAAGATCAGTAGACAGACATTACAAAATAAAAGATAGTTGTTTGAGGTGACTTTCTTTTAAAAATCAAGGCCATTGGTTCCAGTGTACAACAAAGTAAAATGGCACGTCAACCAGCTACCAAACCTCTCTGGCCTGCCGACAGTGTAAGGGAGGAACAGAAATACCAGTATTGCCTACCTAAACATAGAAACACTCCTGCTGTGACACTCAGAAACTCTTCCATTTGGTAAAAATAAAAGGTACATCACATACTCCAGCAACAACCCCCGATCCCTCCCACACCTTCCCTGCTTGTAACAAACTACAGTGAACCTGTGCCAGTGATTTCTACGAGCAGGTGAATCTGTGACTACTGCAGCCCGTAAAAGTCCCATTTTGTTGTCACGGGAAAAAATGACAACACAGCAGGCCACAGTTTGAGATTGTCGACCATTTCGCCAAATTCCTCCAATTTTACAGTGAAAATGAAAGCTGATGATAATTGGGTTTTTGGAGCAGAAATGGTAGCAATTACCGTCCCGGGCCAGCAGCTTAGTAACCACAGACACTTTGAACTCCACATCATGCACAGTAGCCTACACCTCCTGCTTAATAGACAGGGTAATAGTAGTATTTGAATTTACAGAGAAAACAGGAGAGCAAAGTGAACGATTGACGTACTAACATAATATACAAGAATGCTGGAAATGGCAAGAACAAATTTGTACAACCTCAGAGCTTGCTTATTCGGTGGCGTTGCAGCTGAATTTAAAAAGGCAAACTATTTAAGAGAAAAGATCGGCATTATTAAATGCTTGAGCTGCTTCTATGGAAAGCTAATTAGTGGTATTGGGGGGGGAAAAACACACACAAACATTCACAGGTGGCAAAAAGGCAATTAAACAAACAGTGCTAGAGCACAAACACAGAGCTTCTTTGAGCGGAAATGTTACAGCTGCATGTGCCAAACAGTGGGCAGAGGGATTTATTGTTGTGAGCGTAAATCATCACTTGTTATTGAGGTGAATAAAAGCAGAAATGGTACCGTGTGATCATTTTTCCCAATATACCCGGCAGAGAGCAGTGAATTTAAGTGCAGACTCCAGGGCAGAATAGACGTCGAGTGTTACACTCGCAGGCAGTTGCGCACTCCAGAAAAATCACAGTGGCTCATTAGCATTTATTTGGGGAAGAAAAGAAAGATGGTGCCACTGTGTTTGGATTGTGTCGGCCATGTCTCGGTGTTCAGCTCTATTCTGCAGAGGAGTCAACCGAAGATGTGATTGGTGAGGAAGAATCAAAAGAAGCCGTGATAATAATGTCCATCCAGTGATGTCACATTGTGATTTTGCACACGTATGGTTTTAAACCTGTCGTAGCATAAATGGATGGAGTCTCTAAAAAGAAAAAAAAAAGAAGAAACTCCATCCAAAAAGGTCAACTCCAGGTTATAAAACAAGCATAACCAATGCATGTACCTCCCGAGGTCCCCCAAAACAAACCATTGTCCATATTCCACCTCTTGTTGCTCCCCACAATCTTGTGTAGTGACTAAAAAGTAGCCCTGTTGTCTTCATAACTGTTCTCCTCCTTCCCTTCATCCCTCTGTTGGTCTTCGTCTTGTTTCATCACTGTGAGAGAAAAACACACAAAGGACAATGAAAATATGACCAATTGGTTGTATATATAATTGCTGTTAGTGTACAATGCATTTTCCTTCTTTAACACATGTAGTACAATGGGTATTCACATTCTCGATTGATATGCGAAATCTAAATTAGTAACTGACCTCATGCATCTTGACATATTTTCTATGATATAATCTTTTACATCTTATTTCACATCTTACATATAAAACTTATATGGTATGGTGGGGGGAATTGTATGCCTTTATTCGAATGCTGACATGGAACAAGGAGAGATGTAGAAATGATAGAACATTTGATAACAGAACACTATTTCCGAACAGTGTTCTGCAGCTGGCATTACAAGCTAGTTGTGTACTTGGTATAGTGAGACATTCTCTGAAATAATATGTGTGTTGCTGGGGCTGCAGCCTTTTCAAAGACAGCTTACGGGGGGTTATGATTTTTTAATGACATCTCAGGAAAGGAAAATCTCTTGATAGCATACGGAGAGACCCACTTTTACATCTTCTCGTAATATCCATTTCAAAAGCAAAGAAAGTGTGTCTGCGTTGTGAAATATCACACAGTTAGGCTGTCAGTAGCTTCAAAAATCTCATAAAACAAGACTCGCTTAAACTGGCTTTTACATCCCCGTCAAATATGCCACTACCATAGACTTCATGATGAAATGTTTTACATTTATGATGACATTTTCAGAGGATTCTGTACAGCTGTCACACTCCATCAATTGAGATGCAGGGACAGCTTTCTCAAACCTGCTTGCTTTGAACTAAAACTGACTTTAGACTCTCAATCGGCAGGACTGATGTGTCTGAAGATATTTCTGCTGACTGTAAAGCTTGTGTTCATGCCAAATGGATCGCATTTGCTATGAAGGATGTTGTCAGCACGTTAATGTCGCTCATGACCATTGCGATATATCCAAATAGGATTTCTGACTATTCTACGGCTTTTACGTCGCTGTTGCTTGCTTCTCCAAATAATTGGAATGCACTTTAAAACATTTACCAGCGAAGTAGAACAAATTCCCACAGAACATGTTTACACTTCTTCTTGTCTTCTGTGATAAGTCTACATCTCAGCCGGCCTGACCAAAACATTGACTAAATGAAAAAAGTGATTAAATGGAAACTCTGTTTTCATCCAATGCACTGTCCTTACTGGCAGAAGTGTCCTTGACTTGTCCCCGCATACCGTTAGTTTGTAGCATCGGGAGTTACATTCATGAACGCAGAAGTAATTAAGCTCACTGTTGATCCAGGTCCACCCCCCCCCTCCTTAACCCCTTGATGCCTGTAATCCGTTGGCCTGACCTGTTCTGTGGAGGGTCTCTTGTTGAGGAGACCGGCTTCTTCGTTAGCCTTGTCTGTCTTCATCTCGACCACGATGTCATTGTTCACCTCTCCACTGGCCCTGCAGAGAGAGCGGGTGAGAACAATGAAAAAAAAAAAAAAGGTGTAAAAAAACGGTAATTATTTGCCAAAAATTACATGAGCAAAGCATGTTGATTGCTGCTGTAGAGACCATTCATCTCTAACATTTGGTTTACAGTTTTACAGCAATAATTGGCGTATACTGTAACTATTTTCTTTAAGGATTACAATTCAAAAATACGATAAAACCCTCTTCCAGCTAATCGAGATATCCTAACTAAAAGAAAACAATATCTTTTTGAGGATAATTTCCCAGTAGAGACTTTAAGAGATTTTCAGACTGTAATCTGCACACTGATATGAAAATGTGGGGAAACCCAGCATGTTGCTCAGCATAATGCGAAGCAGTGGAGCAATCAGATATTAGCAGCTCTGTTGTACACCATTTGACTGTGATACTGGTGGAGAAACTGGCATTTTCTCATCCAAGAGACTCCTAATTTTCTCAGAAAGCGCACACTTCTTACTTTTATCATTTTGATTTATTCATCCATTTATTCATTACATTATAGCAATTTCTCTATTCATTGAATTGATCTATTTTGTAAAAAAAAGGAACATGCTTTACTTCTTTTATCATCACTGTTGTAATTGCAGAGACCCTACTGAATTTACTTCAGAAGAGTTTGTTACAAAGAACAACTTCATAGTGCAGTTTGCCTTCAGTGGGTATTGAGTCACATGAGGTAATAACTACCATCGTTGATGCTCATTAACGTCCCCCTATTCCTTCCCTCCCTCCCCCACTCCCCTCTTGTGTACTCACACTTCCTTCTTGTCCTTCTTGCTGCAGGGCAACTTGCTCTTCTTGTTCAGGAAGTAGATGAGAGCCACCAGCAGAAGGAGCAGCAGAACACACACCACCACGGCAATCACCACCCCGCTGGAGCCTCCCTGCTGCTTGTCAGCTACAGCACCGCAATGGAGGGACACATGGAGGGAGGGATGGAGGGACGGATGGTGGGAAGGTGGAGGGGGGAGAGAGGTGGGAGGAAGGCGGGGGGGGGGGGGGGAGGGGTTGATCACAGTGGAGGAGGTGGGAGAAAGATGGGGGAGTTTTTGATTTTGGAGGGGCAGTGGTAGGGAGAGGGTAATCGTGAGTGTAGGTGATGTTCGATTCGTAGGGTAGAAGAGAGGGAGGCAAGGGGAGGAGAGTCATTTAATTTAGGGTACCACGGGAGGGAGACGGGATGGAAAGGGGAGGACGGAGAGAGGGAGAGGATGGGTGTCCAGATGAAGACAATGGATGGATGGATGGGTGGAGAGGAGAAGGAACGGGGAGTGGGATGTGGGGTTAGTCTAACTTCTGAATGAAACGACTGAAAAGTGATGGGACCCAAAAAATGGGGCCTGTATACTCACAGATAACGACGAGACAGCTGACCAGAGCCAGAAAACAACACTGAACATACTCACCCATTCACCTTGATCACTTGTATTACTATACTTGTGAGGACATGACACTACATTTATCAGATTTTATGTTATTCTACTTAAACTTTAACATTATAATACATTTAGCAAGTGTTTTGAAGGCCTGTGTCCAACAATTGCTTTTAAGAATACTTGTTTTTGGATTGGCTGGCTAGTGTCATTTAAAGGAATAGTTCAACATTTTGGGAAATATGCTTGTTTGCTTTCTTGCCAAGAGTTTAATGAGATGATCAATGGTTTTGCAGGGGGCTTATGTGATGGATTTTTTTGATGCGGAGCAGAGACTTCCTAGAGTCTCCGCTAGTTTCCTGGCAACTTCACAGTAATGAAAAGACTCCAGGAAATGTTAAACTGTTCCTGTAAAGTTGTACCACAGACATAGTTCTGGTAAACAGTGACCATTAAAAATCCACCACAAGGTGTATTTAACTGTACTGCTGCTTTTCTCTGCGGCTAAACTGGCCGCAACATGAATTAAATTAACTGCAAACAAACTTGAATAAATATGCCGTTATATGCTGTGGCATACTGATATAAAAAATAAAGAACAAAGTGGAGGAAGGTTCTTTGCCTCTGCAAATCTTCCTCCCTTACCTAATATAATGTCCTCTCAGCTACGGTAATACAAGTATGGATACACAAACACATTAGCTCTTGTAAACACAAATACATTAATGCTGTGTGTGCACACATACATAAATACACAGTGACTTACAGGTCTAGACGAACGCCAAACACATGTAAATAGGGTTAGCGATACAGACCTGACTTAAGCACAGGGTTTCCAGAGAGCAGCACTTTGAGAGAAAGAGAGTTTCTCAGTCCCATAGCATAGCAAAGCAACAACCACAAAACACACACACACACACACACACACCACTGAGAGCATACGGACACAGAAGCTAAGGTACTAAATCCTACACACAGCCCCGCAGCGAGTTGAAACGGCGAAAAAGGAAAAGCGAGAAATAAGAGGGCAGTCAGAAAGAAGAGGTGACCAAAAAGGAGACACAGTGAAGAAACAAAGAGAGGAAAGGAAGGAATAGAATAGATTCCTTTATTGTCCCCAAGGGGCCACACAAAGTTGTAGTAGCATCCACAAAATATAGGACAGACATTATACAAAGGTGACAAGAAGAAGAAGAATAACAATATACAATATCCACAGTGTTCGGTAGCAAGAGGGGAAATATACAAGATTACAGTACAGTGGAGGCAGTTGGGTGTAGGTGTGTGTGTGTGTGTGTGTGTGTGTGTGTGTGAGATGGAGGGGCCGGGGCAAGAGGAGAGGGGTGAAGGGGGGGTTTCTAAATTACAGGGTCTGTACAACACAGAGTCCTGACAGAAGGAGGGAGGAGAGGAGGAGAAGGGAGAAGGCTCTACCTCTGTCGGCCGATTTGCCAATTGCTGCGAGACAAGAGGAGGAAAAGAAGAAAGGGTTTAGATTGCAGGATGTGGTGCTGGTAAAAGAGCAAAAGAAACCTGGATTCGGTTGCACCAGCTATTTGTAAAACCATTACTAAAATTGCATATCAAGTCCCTCCTGAGTTCTTAGCAATTGGTTGCTAAGAAACATCTACAGCACCATACAGTCAACAGCAATCATCTGTGGAGCAGCCTAACAGGAAGTCTCTGTAGCGTCACAAACCGAAGCGTAACCTAATGACAGTTTTAGGAGGCAAACAATATATTGAATTGAATTGCCATTATCATAAATTTGTGAAAAGAATATCTACTCACATGGATAAATGTGGGATTCAAAGTTAGCAGTATTCATGCAGTTTTTATAGGGGGCAGAAATATCTGATGTTGCTATTATTGGCATACATTTTGGATGAATACAATTTCAAATCCCGATCTTCATAATTAAACAGCATTTTGTCCAAGTGTCAGTTCAGATTTGTCGACCATATTCCACGTTTCTTTTACTACCAAAATGTTAGCAAGCTAACGTTTTGTCATTTAGCACAGACAATTAACCTCTACATAACAACTAGTTTGTGTGGTGCCACTCGTTTTATTCCGTGATGCATTAATCTCCATTTAGTAAACACTAGAAACACCGACACACGACCACGAAGTAAATGTAACTCGGCTCACTGAGTTTGAACTTACAAAAAAGCTCAAAATTCTGTCAAATAAAATATTCATCACTTGTTAATCTCTTTATCACAGCTGATCATTAAAAGCCTTAAGTGAAGAAGGTATGAAGGGGAAGGAGAGAAGGAGGTAAGGTAGCATCATCGCTGCCGTCATCTCTTGACACTGACCTCTTTTGACAGATACCAGGAAGGTCTTGCTATCTGTTCCGTGCTCGTTAGAGACCTCGCAGGTCACCCCGTCCTTCATGACCTCGGCTGTGGCTTGCAGGGTCACGGTGCTCACCACCTTGTTACCTTCCACTGATACTGACTGGGAACGGATGAAGGGGAGAGAGATGGAAGAAGGACAGCATTCATTTTGACATATTCCCTCATCATTTCTTGCAAATATTTTATATTTGTGGCATTATTTTCCAATAAATATTTTTGCACTAATTCTTTCTATTAAGCCTGATTCCTATTATTTTGCACACTGTAGTGATAATTTATTACATGTTTCCTCCACTGATTCTCACTTAAACATCAAGATCTGATCTTAAAAACGGTCACTTGTGAAAGCTTCATTATCTCTTCCCTTTGATCTTACATAAATCCCTATTTGCTTCTAAAATAATCAAATCTTTCAGAAGGATCATGAAAGTTTGATTTCACTTCATTTAAAGTAATATTTCAATCAAGCTGTATTCCCCCTGTAAGCTTCTTTAAAGTTGCTTCACATAGGATTTTCTTTTCAACTACATCACATCAATATGAAATATGAGAATAAAATATTACTTTCCATAGTCCTGCAAGATGGTTCTCTCCCTCCTTTTTCTATTGCTTTTGAAGTTGAACAACCAGCCTACCAAGATCTTCAGATATTATAAAAAAACTCATGCCTCACATTTTACATATTGACCCCGCCCACCCCAAAAAAACGCTGATAGCGATAGCTGTTTATTTGAAATACATTTTTACCTCTGTGTTTATAGTTTTACTCGTGTAATCCCTTCCAGGAAAGCAGCAATTACATCTGCTTACTGAGTGATTCGTGTTAATTGCACACAGGAAAAACGATGTTGTATTTTCCTCTCCGTTTCTCTTGACTGTGTTTTTACATTCGTACCTCTTTCACTGAGGGCGTCCAAGTGAACTGAGGGGCAGGGGAGCCGTAGGCCGAGCACTTCAGAGTCACCATGTCTCCTTCCTTCCCCACCGTTCCAACAGCAGGAGACTCGATCATTGGCTTTCCTGGAAAGGGTGTGAGAGCCAGTGAACTAGAGAACTTTTGGTATAAATAACACAGCAAACACTCAAACACACGTACACACACACCAACACAAGTAATTTTAGGCTGGTTTAAATAATAACATAAGTTCCCTTGCCGACTGGAAATGAAAGTCGTCAAAGTCGTCTTGTTTTATAAAGAAATAACACAGGCCGCGACTGAATTCAACACTAACCTTTATTGTGGTATATATTGTTTTAATTATTTATGATAATTTTTGGACTTCAAACTCCAAAAAGGGCCTCTGGAGAGTTTAACCCTCGTAAGATGCATGCTGGGAAGTCTGTCAAAAACTAAATTCAATGAGTCAAGATAACTTTCAGCAGTATATTCATTCAGTGGTATGAAAATAATACGCCAATATATTATAAAATGAATTGACTTCAACTAAATGAAATATATATGCTTATCTTAAGTTAAGGACAAAAAATAGGTTGATTCCACTAAACTCCTATATGGTGTTTTTTAACAGTGCACTAATGGTTTCAACCCATACTAAAGCTACATTATCAACAGAGTAGGAAGCCACACCTGTTGCATCCATAAACTATACAACTTCCTTCCTCTGACTGAAACAATACCAAGCACACCCTAACACCAACCATCGTTATTATTGTGTGTGTGTGTGTGTGTGTGTGTGTGTGTGTGTGTGTGTGTGTGTGGTTGTGGCAAAGGGTGGGTAGTTTGGAAAGAAATGATTACCCTTTGTTTACAATTGAGTATAAAGTGCTATTTCATTTGCAGCTCCTAAGCAGTAGGCCTCGTATTTCTGAGTATTTTTGTGTGTGTATTAAAATATGATAATACAGATGCTGATGTGATTGAAATCTTTACTTAAGTCTTGTCTAAACACAGTTTTGTTGGTTTGCCTGTGCATGTGTATGTTTATGCAGGGGTGCTACCTTTGACAGTGAGGTTGACAATAGCCTGGGCTGTCAGTCCTGGCACAGATGGCACGGCTCCAACACACATGTACTCTCCAGCTTTATCGTAGGAAACATCTTGTATTGACAGCATGCCGTCCTGTGAGAGCACCTCAGAGCCCTGGAGAAACACACACACACACACATACAGAAATAAAACCAACTGCAGTCACCCCATCAGCCCGCAATTCTTTCTTTTTATTCTCTGCGCGTGAATACGGGAGTAGAACAGCATTGTGAATATCTAGTTTGAAGGCGCGCAGCTATGCTGGGAAAGCAGAAGAAGAAGATTCACACACACTGCAGTGATAACAGATCAAAGTCCGTCCTCCATGATGAATCTGCCTCTTGCAATTCCTCTCGACTTCTTCTCATAGGACTCCTTATGGAGAACAAACACGTTCTCTACTCAGAAAACCAGCAGTCTGGGAGTTTCTATCACACCCAGGAGACACAACAATAGATACACAGGCTCCAACAAACAGGCTCCGCACAGGAGGAACATTTTGCCCATAACAAGTGGAGAAGAGGAGATGACTACCAAAATACCAAAAATATCACCGCTGTCACGCTGATTAGTGGTTTTCCAGTGTAACAAATTGTCTTTTCGTTGGTTTGTTAACTGTCGAAAATGCATTTAGAGCAAACATTTTGTTGTCTATAGAAAAGAGAGCAGAAGGAGTGCTTTCCGTTCACTGTTACCTTTAACCTGCTACACACAAACTCCAAAATGTTTTAATTGTCTATAACTAGCATGTCTACATTTTCACTCAGACAGTCATGAAAGTATCTGGCTGCTACTGTAAAACTGAAATCATACATAACATAAACTAAGCTAAGGATTTATGATGAATTATATAATATATCATGAGCATATGATACAATATTTAACAGTGTATACTATTTATTGACACCAAATGGAACAAACACCAGTGTCTGCACTCCAGTTGCTGCAATTGGACACAACACAATGCAGCTTGTGTAGCAGGGCCACAACTGTCCTTAAAGGGAGCACTGCGACTGATCCAAAGGCTCTTGTGTTGGGTGCCAGCTGCACGCTAAGTAAGTTCTGTATGTGTCACATTACGAACTATGTCCTATCCAATGACGAAAGGTTGCGTTGTTGAGAACTTTGCATCGAAAATGAACCAGAATGTCCAAATATGGATTCCCAGGAAGAAATGTGTTCTTGTTTAACATTCAGTCAGTGCTGTGAACATGTCAGAAAAACAGATTTGTGTATTAAAACTGTATTGAAACTGAAATAATTCTGTTGACACATGAGGAAAAGAGCAAAGCACTGTATTCCTAGAAATACATCATGAGTGAGACTAAAAGAAGAAGGGGATTATGTCTGAGAAAGAATTGGAGCACACCTTTTTCCAGTGAACAGTGTGGCCAGCAGAGGCCTTGGTCTTACACTGCCACTCCACTTTGTCTTTGAGCATGACGACTTGAGGTTCGGCGGGGGTCACACTCATTGGGTCGATGTCTGGCAGAGAGAAAATGGAAAGAGAGGGAGGAAAACACATGAAACCTGAGGCCTACTATACATTTTAAGGAGTTAAAGAAGTGCCACTTGAAATCAAAAAGCTTCTCATCACTTAAAGAAGCATGCGATAATATAAAACGACCGTACGCAGCAGAATATAATTTTTATTTTTAAAGTACGAAGCTAATGCAATTACTCTGATGTTAAGCCCATTTCGTAGCCAAATTTAAGCCTATTCCATGCTATTTCTGGGCTATCTCTGCTCAATAAGTGCGATAAAATCAAATTACAGAGTGTAGTTGGGATAACATTAAGGTAACAGATGAACTGTGAAAAATTGAATTGGATATCGGCCCCCTGAAAGGATTCCATTAAAGTTCTTTCCATTGCAACCCTTTTAATTATATGACTAACTGATGAAAAGAAAGGCGAAACTGCAAAGGCGAAACTGCACAAACAGGAGGTAAATTGTTCTTTATGTGTGTATACTTAAATCTGCAGTTGGGTGTGTCTCTGTCTCTGTCTGTGTGTGTGTGTGTGTGTGTGTGTGTGTGTGTGTGTGTGTGTGTGTGTGTGTCTTTCGCTCACTCACAGTTAACAGTGAGGGTGATGGTTCCACTCAGGTCAGCTTCCAGGTTATCAAAATCTGTAGCTGTGCACTTGTACACACCAGCTTCTGTGCGCTTGACAGATTTCAGCAACAGGACACCATTCTGACCAGCGATGACTTTTCCCTGAGGTTGGAAGGACGGGAGAGAGAGCGAGAGAGACAAATAAAGATCGAGTGAGAGAGTAACTAAGATTTATACATTTTTATGAAAAGTTGGTATATATACACAGCAAAAGCAGAAAACAACAACAACAAAAAAGCTCTTTCTCTTCCAAACAAACTGAAAAGCACACGCACATCTTTGGTGAAGTCAATCTCAGGCTGAGGGTTTCCATCAGTCTCACACTTCATGGTAACAGTATCGCCCTCTTTGATTGGATCCGTGTTGAGAAGGGAAAAGGTCGCTTTCTCAGAGGGATCTACATGAACAAGAACAGACATGAAACAGGTGGAAACTCCTTCTTTGGATACATTAACACTACAGTATGTCATCAATTAGAGATGAGAAAGGCATTCCAGAGGGGATGTTTTACTTTCCCTATAGCTGAATATTAAAGTCCATAACAGTGTTTAGCAGGAGGAAATAAATGCATCCAATGAAGATAACACTAATAGCTGTTTGTTGACAATGTTTAATTTCAAAGAGCGTATGTCTTTTGTTAAAGTGAAATAGTAACATGAGGATGGAGGACAGGGAGAGGCTTAAAGATAAAGCATAAATAAATAGATTCATTTTCTTGAATTTGTCCACCACTTTGGTCCACACTAAAATATCTGAACAACTTTGGTCGGATGGATTGCTATGACATTTTGTACAAACATGTGTGGTACCCAGAGGTTAAATCCTAATAACTTGATGATCTTCTGACTTTTCTTCCATCGCCACCAGCATGTTGACATTTTTGGCTTTTAGTGAAACAATTATTGCTAATTAGTAAATGTTAGTGTAACCATAACAATAGTGTACATTAGCATGCTAACACAAACAAACTATGATGGTGGACATGGTTAACATTGTAAGGAGTTAAAGGCGTCCCAATTGAAATAAAAAAAACTTGTCAGTACTTAAACAACTATGTAATAATGCTTTTAAAACAACTGTACTCAGAAGAACATTAATTATTTTTTTATAAGTACAAAGCTAATGCACTTACTCTGAAGTTAAGCCCGTTTCAAAGCCAAGGTTAAGTATATTTCATGTTATTTTTTTAGGCTATCTCCGCTTAAAGTGTCAGATAAAATCAGATTACTTAATTCTGCAGTTGTATTCTGTTTGATACCACTCTTATGTCTTAGCTTAGCATAAAGACTGGAAACGGGGGAGTGGGGCAGCTAGCCTGGCTCTGTCCACAGGTGACAAAATCCACCTGCCAGCAGCTGCAAAGCTCACCAATTAAAAACTATTGTCCCTCCACTCACAGTTGAGGTTGATGGTGATGGTATCAGACTTCTTCTGTTTGATCTGGTCTCCTGGCATGCTGTACTCCACGGTGCACTGAAACACAGAGTCCTTGTCTGCCTTTTTGAGCTGCATGTGCAGGGTGTTCCTGACAGTGTTGAGACCCGAGGCCTCCTTCACCACCGAGGAAATCATATAGGTCTCTAACAGAGAGGAGGGGAGGGAGCACACAGATTACCTTCTGGTTGGCACGTGGATGTGATATTAGATTATTTTATCTATTAATGTATTTTATTTATTCAGAAAATTCGAACAAACAGCCCGATGACACATACTCTCTTTCCTGTCCTTGACCTCAGCTAGGGGCTGGTCATCTTTGAACCAGATGATTCTTGGCAGGGGATGTCCATTCATCGTCACACAGGTACCAATCTGATACACATGGAAAAACGCAGGAGGGACAAAAGAAAGTCGACTGAAAATGTGTGTCTTCAGTGTTCACATGAAATCTGAAACTCACACACAGGATGCACATACAGTCATAGAAATTGCTCACGAACCTCAGAGCTGGTAGTCTCTCCCACAGAAATGGCCTGACTTGACGGCTTTGTGAGTTCTGGCTTCTCGGGAGCAACTGAGGCAGAAAAAAGTAGGGGGGGGGGTGATTTTTATCATTCCATTATAAATCACTAGAAGGGAAACATTTAGAGACACACACACACTCACTCCACTTCCGTATATGCAGTCCAACCCACATGGTTGCTGACCTTGTTAATTAAGTGGAGCAGTAAATATCCTGCCTCTCATTATTACAGTGAGACTTGGTTCACACGAGCCGATAAGAGTCAAATAACAAAAACAGCACTACTTCTCTCACTGGCTCACACACACACACACACACACACACACACACACACACACACACACAC